TAGGCACGCAACCCTTCCATAGTTGTCGAATTTCTTGGGTTTCACCCAACCTACTGAAAAATTTGTTTGTTGAACACTACACAATTACTTTTTCACTTCTTCAAGTCCTAAATAGTACCACATAATTCGAATAGAATAGGCTCTACAGATTCTCAAATCTTGAGTGATGAATTCGATTAGGAATATTTTTAATAATTGGCCCAATATTTAGCACATTCTCAAACATTTCACCCCACACTGTGATACAATATCGTATAACTGACTCAACAAGAGATTTGTAAACAATAATTAAGATTTTATTTGTGAGTATATCCCTGAGTTCATACATTTTATAGCTAAGATTACGCTTTGGTTGAGATTGTAGTAGGGAGAAATGTCATTAGTGTCAAATACGTCAGCATTGTAAAAACTGAAACTCCTGGACACCAACATCAAAAGGCCCGACACTAAGTGGGACTACTGTATATGAGTATACTGTGGCCTGGCTGTCCGAGAAAGTGACAATGGTTTTATTTGTGACTTTCTGCCTGTTTATTTCCCCTAAACAGTGTTCTAATTTAGTCAGTCAAAGAGTGAAAAATGTAGTATTTATTTTGAACATTCCCTGTTTTGTTCTTCTTGGAGTTGTATGTGAACACGATGAATTCAAAAAATATGGAACACTGCTTCAATTAGGTACTTTATTACCTGAAGAATATACATTGATGATAAATTCTTTGCGTCTTACGCCGTGTTTCAGTGTTACTATTTTCATTCGGGTTGAAGGCCGTCGTAGTTTGGAACTGCATCCTACGTTTAGTCAGCTTGGCTGGCTTCTTCAGAAGTTTATTCATATTGATGATTCACCAATGACTAGTCATTGGTTGTACAACAAAACATCGATGCAGTGCGTGAACTGATAATGCTTAAGATCGTCATGTTACATATTGTGAGATAGAGGCATCCTTGCATGAATACTCAGTTGTGAAAAAAGGTTCTCGTTTGATGCCCCATAATTTATCAATACATACTTAGCATTGTACTTTGTCAACAGAACGACAACGTCCATCCACACGTTTCACCGTCCGAAAATTGAATGAATTGAGCGTCGAAGTTCTGCCTCACCCACCGTACTCCCCAGACCTTTCGCCAAGCGACTACCATCTTTTCAAGCACTTCGATAAGTTTCTCACCGGTAGAACCTTCGCCAATCAGGACCAGACTTCATCGTTGACTTCATCGAATCCCGAGTATACAATTTTTATGTTGACGGAATAAATCGACTTGTGTTACGTTGACAAAAGTGCACTGACTCGAATAGCGCCTATTTCGATTTTATTGAACGAGTATTCTTTGAAATGTTACAGTTGAACTAGACTCATTCAATTCAATTCAATTCAATTTATTTGGAATATGTTAATATACAATTTATTAATATTATGGTTAGGACCACTTGGAGTTTGAGGAAAGCAGCCTAAGCGCCGGTGGCTTGTAATGTGCTTCCGTCAGGCACAAAAGTAATAAAAGATTAAATAACTGTTGCAGTTGAATTAGTGAATAGACAGAGGATGCTGGTATATTTTATGAGAATAAGTATCTATAATTATCTATACATCTAGGTTTACATAATATCAGAAGGTACACATACACTGAAAGACACATTGGAAGATTAGAAAATGTACTCAGTGATATTTCTGGGTTATTGGGTATGTTTGAATAAACTCCTTATAAACAGTATTATTTATATATACGCTATTGTTATAATTAATTTATATATCTATGAGTGTTTTATTGTACAAATACCAACTACACGTATACTTTTTTAATCTACTGATGAAAACATCTCTTAAGGTGATCCCACCTGTTGCATGGAATGAGTTCCATACCACAGTCTTGCAAATAAAGAGTTTACAACAATGTCATTACATTAAATGTTTCTTCATTATATGTCCTATTTGACATGTATACAAAATTGTAAAAGTGACAAATAGTCATACATTTCACGTTATGTTTTGTATGAGAATTCAATCATTTGAAGAGCGTATAAGTACTGTCATCGATGACAGTACTTATACGCTCATTTGATTCAATCCCAGCCATAGGAAACTTGTTTGAATTGAAAGGGGTATATTTTCAAAAAATACAAAAAATTGCTTCGATTGAAAAATGTTTGAATTAATTTCTGAGAGTTATCAAAACAATTGGAAAAATGCTCTGAAGGCGAATTCAAGATTCCATTTACATTTTCAATCGAGTACGATTCATTTCGACATAAGTTTTCCTAATTTTTCTCGTGATTCTTTGGTGATGATCTTCTTCTTGTGTGATCGCAAATTTCGACTGTTGCATATGCGTTGTAGCAGTCCTGATACATTGATGATGTTCGTTTTCCAAATTTTAACATTTTTTTGCGAATGCACGTCTTCATCGGCAGCATGAGGTTGCATATCTTAACCCTTTATCGGGCGACTCCCTGAATATTTTTATGTTGTTTGCTGGTCAACGTAACCATATGGTCACGTCAATTTCAAAACCCTCCCAAATCATATCCATGCCGTTTGACGTGTCGCGGGCTACGTTACCATATAGTTACGTTGTTTTTGTGGAGGGAAAAGAGCGGGTTGGTTTTCGCGCCAATCGAAATGTGTGTTTTTACGAGGTTATGCCTGTTGGTAGCGCTGCAGCGTTAGAGGTTGTGTGTGACAGTCGTATAAAAGTTACAATTCCTACTGAAACCATAGTAATTTTATGTCTGTAATGTCACTGCTGTTTTGTGAAAGAATCAGGTAATATTTGTTTCCGATCCAATTTACACGAATATAGAAGCAATGTTGACTTTGAAATATGCGTATCCATATGGTTACATTGCCCATACTAAGAAAGTGTTTCATCTAGGTTTCGAAAGATATATTTATGGAAAATCTTGGAACAATTCCCTCATGTTCATTTTATGGGAGGAAGAAATTCAAACTTTCACCTTTGCCTGATATTTTCGATGGTTCTGGAAGTTCCGATGATGAGGCAAATTCAAAACAAAATTAGGTAAACGGTAACTGCAACTTCAGGAAGTGATAGTTCCGACGACGAGGAACATCTAACATTGTTCCAAATTCAAACCAAAATGAAGCAAGTTATGGATCTCCCTTCAGGTAACCATCATAATATAAGGAAGTGGGGAGTTGATAATCGATTTTTTTTCAGCATATAATGAATCAGATGAGGGAGACATATCTGGACTTGAACAAAATTTCGACGAAGAGGACGCAGAGATAGAGGAACCAACAGCAAAAAAAAGGAGAAGAAAAAAAAAGGACCAACTTTCAGCTGTACAAAGGAAGATTAATGTGAAATGATCAACACATATTTCGTTCCGGATACAAATGAAGAGATACCAGCTCCAATCGAGTATTTCACCAAACTCTTCTCTTTTGACATAATGAATGATATAATCGACCAGACTAACCTGTATAGTACACAACTAACTGGTAAATCCATAGACACCAATGCCAAGGAAATAACCGATTTTTTATCCATACTATTGTTGATGGGAATAATAGATCTTCCGTCTTTCGAAGACTATTGGGCAAATCACACCCGAATTGAGCAGATAGCAATTTTCGAAAATTCCACACTGAAAATCAGTACTCTGTAGACGAGACGCTAGTCGCCTATAAGGGTACTCGTGCGGGAAATCTCCGTCAGTATATATAAAATAAACCCCATAAATGAGGGTATAAATGTTTGGTTATTGCTGGTGTAAGCGGATATATATTAGATTTTATTCCCTACCAAGGTTCGAGTTCCTTTAATGTTTTGAAGGGAACTGCGAATGAAATTACTGTGAACAAGTTTGACTTGGGTGTTGGAGCTGCAACTGTAATTGCTTTAGCAAAATCATTGCATGATCCAAGCAAATCGACTTTATTTTTTGATAACTATTTCGCTAGTCTGCCACTCTTCTTGTATCTCAAGGATGAAATGAAAATAAATAGCCTGAGAACACTACGAGCCAATAGAATTGCTGGTTGCCTTGAAAATCTTAAGCTATCAGAAATGTATACATAATGAATTAGATACGTTTGAGGAGCAATGCCAATTTAGTGGTCATTGTAACCATATGGTTACAACCTTCAGTCGGATAACTACTATCAATATGGATATACTGACACTTTCAAGGAAGTCAGTGAGTTATTTTGAATCATTTTCTGCGATTTGAACATTTTAATAAGCTTCTCTACTGTCTTGCCCATTAAGGGATTAAAAAAATATTGTAACCATATGGTGTCAAAAACCGATAAAGGGTTAATGAGGATCTAGAAGACATCGGTTTTCTTCAAAAAGATAAATGTCTCCGAACCGGATATAATAATGTCAGAACAGACAATTTCGCTTTCTGCTTCGATAAGTTCGTTGGGGGTTCAAATGGACACCAATATGTCTTGGCACAATCATGACGCTGGAAAAGCATCAGAAGCTCAGAACACTGATTCGAACCAGAAAACTGTACACACCCCAGCAAATTTTGATGTTTCATGAAGCTCAGATCAGACCTTCTTTGGAGTATGCTTAGGAGCTCCGCCCCTAAGCATACCCTGAAGCTGCTGAATTCCATCCAGAAAAGAGCCATCCACCTGACTGTAGACGCGAATATCATTTGCAACATTGATAGTGTGGAACATCGAAGAAAGATTGGGATTTGTGTCTCTTCTATAGATACTTTCACGGGAAGTGTTCAAGTGACTTGGCACATTTGATTCCTCCAAGAGCGGTACATATGAAAAATACGCGACGGACTGAGGCTGCTCATCGTTTTGAGGTTCAACTCAGTACCCCTCGAATTTCACTGTTTAAGAACTCTTTCATTTGGAGAACTACGTTTAGGTGGAATAAACTTCCTGAGAAAGTTTTTCAAAATAGATTTAATCTGCAGCGATTCAAATCCAATGTGAATCTCTACTTTCACACAGGCACCGCTCTTAGAGAGCGCCTTAAGGATTTTCCTGTAGTGCTTGTGTTTTGTCCATAAAAAAAGGTAAACTGTGGAATTTCAAAATATCAAAAGTAGTTCCAGAAACATTTTTGAATATTTAAATCCACATTAAACGGCGGGGTTTGAATTCCTCAACTTTTGAATGTTGAATTGCTCAAGACCAACGTCGGCGATACACCCAGTAGGTTAAGGTTTTCCTTGACTGTTCCATTTTTCTTTTTCTTCATCGACTGTTGAATCTCTTCCAGGGTTTTTCCCTTCGTCTCAGGAATCAAATAAAAGGAAAATACAAAGGAGACCGAATTGATACAGAAGAAAAACAATAAGGGAGCATACAGGCCAAATGCGGAACTCATGGTGTAGAAAATATAATTTCCAGAAAACATTGATGCAGCAGATATCATCATCATCATGGTCAGACCTTTTGCTTTGATACTAGTGGAGAACAGTTCGCCCAACAACAATGTAGGGACAACCGCAATTCCAAACGAAGAAAAAATTATATAGAGAAGAAGCCCAACTAGCGGGAACCATTTAATACTGTTAACGTCCACACCGGTAACTTCTTTGTCCAAGTAAAAATAAAGAGACTCCAAGAACAGAACTATGGCACACGCCCCCACAGAAGCCATGAAAGATAATCTCCTGCCAAGCCTATCAACAGTTAGACTTGCGCAGAAGTTGAAAAATACACATAAACTCATGAATATGATAGATGATACTTGTGGAGACACACCAGAATTTCCAGATTTCTCAAAAATATACTGCGTGAAGTTGAAGAACACCATGAACCCACCAAGAACTTGGGAAACCCTCAGATACGTACAGCTAATCAGGGCTCTTCTATTGCTATGAACTGTGAAAAGGTCTGTCCAGGTTCCTGATTCCGACATTTGTCTTCTCACGAGGGCTTTAAGAGTAACAAAATGTCTGTCCACATTCTTCTTCCCCGAAAGAGTTCTCAAGGACACCTTCGCATCTTCATATCTGTGTTTCATCAAATAGTAATAAGGCGATTCAGGCATGAACAGAAACGAGAAGAAGAATATAATCGGTAACGTTACGCAAATGTACGAACTTTCTTTGACGCTTACGTAACTTCCTAAGACCGTCATCAACAAACTTCCAAAAAAAATTGAAAAAGTTAATGTATTACCAAATGTACCTCTCACTTTGGGGGTAGATATTTCCCCAATGTACATAGGCATTGCAAGGTATATCATACATTCTGACATCCCTATCAAACATCTCGCTAGGTAAAACAGGTAAACTTTGTTAGTTGAAGCGTTCAGAATCCAAGCTAGTGCATGAGGAAATGCTGTCAGCAGCAAGACCTTCTTTCTTCCGATGGCATCGCATAATATGGAGGCAAATGGTGAGAAGATTACTGAAGCGATTGGATTAATCATTGGCAGGTATGAGGCTTCATTTTCACTTATGTTGTAGTTTTCTTTATCTTTGGAAAGTTTTAGTAAATATGGAGACGGCCAGGCTTGAAAAATTCCAACTGTTAGAGATGTCAGAGAACCTGAAAAAATTAAGTTTATCTGTTGTAGTGTTGTACTGAGAAAAAAGTAAACTTAAACAATTTTCCACGATTCGACCAAAAGTTTTTATCAAAGATTTTAGAATGTCACAAAAGTGAAGCATATTTTCGATATCCAGAATAATCTATTTTTAGATAGAGAATATTAGTATTTTCAGCTCAGTAGTGAAGACAAGATATTTCAACGAATACAAAATTGTTAGGAATTTATATAGATGATAAACTGAATTATGAGGTATATATTGACTATTTTGCAAAAAAAAAAACTAGCAAATAAGTGTTATGCAATTCGAGTGGTGAGAAGTCACTTGAAAATCGATGTACTGAAAACGGCATATTATGAGACTGTTTATTCTCTGCTGCAATATGGAATATTAGTATGGGGAGGGAGTACACAACTGGAACATATTTTCATAATATAGAAACGTACATTGAAAACAATGTTCAATATGAATTACACAGACAATTGTCGTGGTACCTTCAAGGGTAACAAAATGCTTACTGAATATGCTATATATATTTATGTTTGTGTACTTTTTGTAAACGAGAACAAATCGAATTTTGAAGATGACAAATATAGACATGAGTATTCCACCCGATGTACATTCTAATTNATCCTTTTTCAAAATCCGGACATCTTTAATGTTTTTCGAGATATTTGCAAAAAACCAATACCCCTTTTTTTAACTAAATTATTTATAACTTTTGCAATTTTTTCAAACCCCGCTCGAAATTTTTCAAAAAGTTGCTAGAGGTTATTCCAAATTAAATAGCCCTGGATCACAATTTTCGGTGAAGTTCCAAAAAAAAGGATCTTGTGACCCAGACTATTAGTTTTTATTTTTACAGATTGTGAAAGATTATAAACCCAAAAAAGGAGTATAAAATAGGGTGGTTGTAATCCAGGCAACATTCTATCAAAGTTGGTTGGAAGTAATCCGCATTTACAGTACTTTCACTAATTCTAATCTCATTTGCAGGTGTTTGCACATATACTGATGGAGGATGGACAGCAACGAAACGTCGCAACGTTGAGAGAAAGTACTTTTGGTCAGATGTGGAAAACGTTTTTTCAATAGATTAATTTTTCGCTAAAGATTACAAATATACATGATGAATAAATTGAAAGGAGTTTGTTTTCAGGAGCGATTAATTTTTAGGAAAGAAAAGTCTTAGCTTTCTAGTTCTCCATCTGCAAAAAAAAAAATCTTCCGAAAAAATTTATTTCGAAATAAACTTCATACAAAAATGAGTACTTCATGCAAAGAAGTAACTTTCAGGCACAAACTGAAAGAAAAAGTCCTTTCATATAATGCATTTCTTTAATGTCGTCCCTTCTTTTATATTTTGAACGAGTCAACTTGAAAAATTGAAATTTTAGATAATTAAATTAATGCATGAATACTTCATTTTGAAGTGAAACTGACCGATGAAACTTTCAAGATGGCGACTGGGTGCCATCGGGGGAAAAATTGAATGGAAAGGGGGGTCTTGTTACACATCTTTTTGAAGCTCCTAACAAATGCTTCACAACCCTAGAATATAATGTCAATATCTTCCTGAATACATTGACATTTAACTATATACATAATATGAGGTCAGTTCAGAAGATGCTCGAAATGGTTCCCTTGAACTTCTTGACATATGAACAGCGTATCCGATATTTCACGCCGAACATTTTCGAATGTCAGTATCTCTACAAATATTTATTCTTCTCTGCCGTATATCCAATATTGAAGCCTGTTTAGTTTCATACACCTTTAGCTTCAAATAGCCCCATGAAAAAAGTCCAAAGGTGTCAAATCTGGCGAGCGGGATGGCCATTCTGTAGGACCTCTACGACCAATCAATGACCGGGAAAAGTACTATCCAAATAGTTTCTTACTTGTCTGGAGTAACGTGGTGGTGCTCGATCTTGTTGGAATACGATATCTATACTGTTTCTCTGTTGAATTTTGATCAATAAATAGAGGTCCTACAGTATGGTTTCCCAATATTCTTGCCCAAACGTTAATTTTATCTGGATATTGGGTATGTGTTTCCCGGAAAACGTGAATGTTAGTGTAACTCCAATAACAGCAATTTTGTATGTGAACTTGCCGTTTAAAAAAATGTAGATTCGTCACTAAAACAAATATTGTGGAGATAGGTAGGATGCCTTACATTGGTTTCCGTCATGATTTCATAGAATTCTGCCCTTCGATCAGGGCCATCTTCAGTTAATTAATTGGTGTACCATTCAAAAGTCTCCACAGAGTTTAAGCAGACACCTCACAAACATTCGCGACGGAATAAGTAGACTGTTCAGGATTTACTACCATCGCACCAATTACACAACACAACAAAGTTTTTGTTTCGGGGTTGAAATTAGATGATTTTAATGTATTTCCACGTGTTAAAACCGAAAGTGACCATAAAAATTATATATTAGCTCTTGTTTTCAAGATATAGTATCATTATATTATATATATGTATATTGAGTTTTCAACAAATGAAATATTTCATCACCAACAGTTGGTACACATGTTTGTTTACATAACACCCCTCTCATCAGCTGTTCTTAAGTAGTAAACATAACCTATGTGAGTTTGTCAATTGTA